ATGACTTGCCACAAAACAAGACTAAACCAAGGATCATTATTCTATTTATTGCCGTTGCATAGTTTCAAGTCCAAATACTTTTCTCTTCCTTTGTTATAAGTAAAAACCAGTAGAGCAACAGTCTGGTCAGAGACTTCTGATTTGTCAATGGATTGATACTGGCAATCGGCTGTCATAAGAAATATAGGAGAAAATATTCAGTGGATATAAATATAATATGACACAAGTTCCATTATTCAATTTATTTGCTCGTTACAAATAAGAAACAATGAAAAATATTAAATGTTTAATTAAACAACAAATTTGAATAGTGATATTAATTAAAAGTGCAATAAACATATATCATGCATGCATGTTTTCTTCCTCTTCCTAGGCACCTGATCCCACATCTGGAGTTTCCGGGGGTTCGTGTGTTTTATGCCCTGTTCACAGATTTACTAGTAATTTGTATTTTGTTTTGTTTTCTTTGTTTTTATCTTGTTTTGTTTTTTATTATTATTATTCATATATATTGTAAGCTCCCCGGGAATGGCCAAGCTGAAGTTGGGGACGCTACAAAATAATAACTGGCAGTACTCCTGTACTAAAATCCTTGGTCACTTGGTAATAGGGAAAACATAAGATTCATCTTGGTCTCAATAACATTTATTAATCATGCATAATATAGTTTTCATCTGAACAGGCACAATTCATATTGGTGGAGTCTACCGAACAGGCTACTATTATTAAAAAAAAGGGGGGGTACAATGGCTTTAGTAGGATGATCTCCAGAGTTAATTACAATAAAATAGGTGTCCAGTGTGTTGGGAGATAATTGTCGAACATTTTCTCACCTGGAATCACAATAGTATGGCTATGGTGAAAATATGGGCGGATCTTGGATCTTACTTTGAATTTACGCTCCTGACAACTCGGCAAATTATCTGATGACATAATGCGATCGCCCCTTATATATAACCTTCGGAAAAGGGTCACATGACAAGTTTCAACCAATACAAATGCTGTACGGCGACGTTCCACCAATCACGACAATGTACGACATCGTACAAAATAAAAATCGTGTCGTACTGTCAAACAAAGTTGTCGTACAATATGGATTATAAACAAACCCAGGAATTAAGTTGTGAAAAGACAAAATAATCAATAAATATGGATGACAAAAGATGTGTCTATAATAAGTAAGTAAACAATTTATCTCTGAAACTTGTAAATTTCACAGAAGTAAACTTGCTGAGTATGCAGACGATATCGCGGATGGATAAAAATATAGTACAAGTTTTAGACACATGTAATCGGGAATAACAATTACTAAAATGAATATTAGAAATCACAATAATAATTAACATAATTAATAGCAAGTAATTATGCCAGTAATGTAACATGAATAACATGAGGTTAAATACGAAACTAATCTACTTAACATGCACCGATAAAGATGGCAGACAGGATGTAAACAAGTTGCATGGCAGCAGATGATTTAAAGTGTTGCAGTTAATCTACACATGTAGAATTACTAAGATAATGACAGTTAACTCAAGAAATACATGCAGATTTAAGATGAAGGGTAACTAATTCATAGTATGTAAAATAAATGCGAACATTAACATTCCTGACCAATTCTAGCACAACGTTTTGACACGCATGAAATAATATTACAAGTAAAGTCCACCCGCCCTACTATGATTACACAGTAAACCATAGTAAAATTTTAGACATCTGACAGATCCTTACAATATTATTTTTTTATCTATCACTGTTCGTTATCTTCACCTTTTCATCTAAACTTTCATTTAATTTATTTTTGTACCCATTAGACAAGATATTATGCTGCTGAAACTGAAATGTTGATAAATTTCTTTCCTTGTTTCCGCTGCATTCCAATTGTTTAGGTTATCATGTTAACAAATATTAAAAGGCATTTTAAAGTACCAAAAATACATGTTATATAATAAGCTGCCACCATACTTCATTCCATGTTCGCACTAAATGGTGTGTATTTTTGGAATACTTGTTATATATATACTACAATGACCTTCTGTATAAGCTATCCGATATAAATAATAGATTGATAGTGATGAAACGGTTAAGTGTTTACTACATTCGCCCCCCTTTTCTGACGAGATTTGGCTGCGTTCTCACATCGTGAGTGATGTAATACGACTCTCTGACCGGCGGGAGTTTCTAATGAGTCAATATTTAACTTCGCAGTACAATGCCATTTGATTGGACTCTGGAGCTAAATTTAGCATTGCTAATTAGGATAATAACTAACAATGCAGCGAACCATCGATCAAGCCTCTGATTTCAATCAAATGAGAACAGGGCACTCGGTGAATCTGCGTGTAGTTTAACATATGATTTTTCACCCTATGTTTTAAGGCATTATTGGGTCATTGACTTAATTTTTGGTTTTATATACACACAGCTCTCATTTTGAAAAAAAAGGTAAATAATTAGGTATAAGCGTCTGTTTAGCGGATTGATATTATATGAAAATGGTGTGTCTTACTGATTTAGTTATATGAAGAAGAATATGCTATCATTTGCTGTTATTTCTCGGTAATTTTAATACATATATGTATATTTATCATCACTGTGCTGTGCTTTAAGACAAAACTAATTTAGTACTTTTGTCTTGAAGCACAGCACAACTACTTTATGAAAATTTGTAGGCATTTCTGGTTACGATAATATTTATTTTTATAGCATACACTACCAACAGTTCCAATTTTGGAAACGTTCAACCTTTCTTGATAAAATATGTATGAATACTTTACAAGAAACACTAATAAATTCCTATAGTGTGTACTTCGGTTAAAGCGACCACACTCCATCTGATTTCGGAGAATGTGAGTTTTTGAATTCTTGGTTAAAGAGTTATGCGTGTATAGTCAGAGGTAGGGCTGATGGGTTAGTAAAGGGTAAGAGGTAGGGTTAATGGGTTATTTAAGGGTTACAGGTAGGACTGATGGGTTAGTAAAGGATAAGAGGTAGGGTTGATGGGTTAATTAAGGGTTACAGGCAGGACTGATGGGTTAGTAAAGGTAAGAGGTAGGGTTGATGGGTTATTTAACGGTTACAGGTTTGGCTGATGGGTTAGTAAAGGGTAAGAGGTAAATTTGATTGCTTGGTATAGGGTCAGAAGTAGGGTTGATGGGAAAGTAATGGGTTAGAGGAGAGTTGATGGCTTGGTAAAGGATCAGAAGTAGGGTTGTTGAGTTACTGAAGGGTAAGAGGTAGAGTTGATTGCTTGGTATAGGGTCAGAGGTAGGGTTGTTGAGTTACTGAAGGGTAAGAGGTAGAGTTGATTGCTTGGTATAGGGTCAGGGGTAGGACTGATGAGTTAGTGAAGGGTAAGAGGAGAGTTGATTGCTTGGTATAGGGTCAGAGGTAGGGTTGATGAGTTAGTGAAAGGTAAGGGGAGTCAATTTCTAGGTTTAGGGTTAGAGATGGTGAAGGGTAAGACGTACTGTTAATTGCTTGGTATAGGGTCAGAGGTAGGGTTGAAGGGTTGTTTAACATTACTTGGTATAGGTAAGGTTGCTGGGTTCGTAAATTTGATTCCTTGGTATAGATCAGAGGTAGTGGTATTGGGTCTGAATAGGGTTAGAGGTAGGGTTGATTACTTGCATAGGCAGAGGTAGTGTTGCTGGGTTAGTAAAGGGTTATTGTTATAGGTTGATTGCTTGGTAAAGGGTTAGAGGTAGGGATGCTGTGTTAGTAAAGGGTAAGAAATAGGGTTGATTATTTGGTAAAGGGTCAGATATATAGAAGTTTTAGTAATATGTTGGCTAGGTTTTGTTATGCACAAATAAACTCAATGCGAACTATTAAAATAACATTTATTCTTATGGCTAGAGATTTTTTTGTAAAAATTATCTGATATCAGGATTAATTAATTTGTCGCGTCACCCTTTGATTCCAAACCAGAAAAGAACAGTCAGAAAAAAGCTTCCCATATCAGCTCGGTTTAGTTAAGTAACTTCCTCGGGTATGAAGCACCCGAAATGGTAGTGATTTTAATAGAAGTAAATAAAGCAAGATAAAAGAATTAAAGGTATTTGTACATTACGGAAGATTTAATGTCATTTAGTCTAAGTTGTGCAATGAAATTTAAGTATACTAGAATTGATAGCTAGACTTAAACTCCATTGTCTATACGGTTTATACAAAACATTTTCATACATTGACAGGAAAAAGTTATACATCAAGAGATAATGAAAGAATAGTACCCCCAGTCTCTTACTTAAATACACTGTGTTTTAAGATAAAATAAAGTAACCATTTAATAATTAATTTACAAGCATCAAAGACAGTGTCCTACTTAAAATAATACAGAATGGGGAAGGGGGCTTTTCCCATGGCATGTAGTCATATTTGTTTAATATGTAATAAAAATGTGTTAAAATTTTCATTCATCTGGTTCAAATATTGGACTATATAGATTTTAAAAAAAAAATTAGGAAACGTGTTGTGAAATTAACGGAAGCAATTTTTTCTAATTCTATTTATTGACTACTTTTTCAAAATATGATTTTCCATCATTACTTTGAATTAATTTTAAGATTGTTTTGAGTAAATTGATTTTTTTTTTTCAGATTTTTAAAACATATTACTTAATATTGATTTGAAAAAAAAATAATCTTACCGGTCACCCAGTCCATATCCAAATACAATTTATCAAATGTTCAGAAAGATCGTGGCTGCAGATGCTATAATTAGTCATTTCATGTTTCATAGTACAGGATTTATGATGGAATATGTTTGCTGATAAAAAACCAATCAAATATTAATAGTATCATATCGAGGCAATTTACTTAATTAGACAAACAAATTCCCTATAACTAATATCTTTATCACTAAGATACTTCATGGTAATTAAAGCAAATCTACGCCGGATTGGGAACATTTAGACGTGATTAATTAGCAAAAGTAAAGGAAACCTCACGTAAAAAAAAAAAATCGAAGTGTGACGGAGGTTGGTGGACAGGACAAATCCAAGGGGAGTCCAACAATCGTTACGTACCATAAACAAGAACGGAGAGTGACGTGATGATTCTGCTTAGAATCGGGAGACAGCGATTTATTGGAAAACCGTAATCATTCTATGTATCAGAAACTCAACTCAATGGGGCGAGGATGCCACTTAAGTCGTCGGTAGGTATGCTTCTTATCTCTTCTCTGTCAAATATAAATTCCAAACAGAAATCTTGAACAAAAAAAATCAAGATAATGTCAATAATATGTATTCTGTTAACATAAGGGAAATCGTAATTGCTTTACGTACTCAGTGGTAAATTGATCAAGGTGTCCGATGAGAGCAATAATTTTTTTCCTTGTTGAAATATCTGTGGTCGTTGGACCTATCAAGCCATCAGGAAACAAGATTCTATTTTTACCAACTTTTGCAGATTTTTCGGTAGTGATTACCCTGCACGAAGAGCTTCTGTTCTAAAAATAAAACGACAGCACCGGTGAAAACTGGGGAGATAGCGGGGGGAATGATCAAGGTTTGGGTTTCATGCCTCACAGCGAAGCACACCGTGTCTGCTCTCGCCGAAGTCTAAGCTCTGCAGCTCCACACCAACGCATCTTCGGGGAATTTCTCCTTTTTCAACAACTTATATATCAATTGGATTGAAGGTACTTGATTATTTTTCAAATAGTGTAAATATGTGCTAATGGGATACCCCCGCCGGCTTGTAAATGATGTGTTGTGATGCATCTCTGAAGATTCTTGATTTGGTAGGGCCGTGGAGTACTGCCAAATCACAACTTTACAGATTGAATATATACGAATGCTTTTGAAAGTGGTAAAACGCGTGGTATTGCCAATCAGCTGTCAGCAATTGGATCAGCAAACACAGGAAAGAGAATATGTAGGTTTTTTGAGTTTCGGAGGGGTAGACTGATAGACACAGTTGTTTTGTATGTTCCATGCCCAGTTCCATGAGAGTTATTTAACGATAAAATCCCGTAGATAGGATTTCGATTGATTATGCGTTGTAAATATTAGCCTTATGATGACCGCTATGAATAATGAATTAAACAGGAGTACGAGTATCAGTGCACCCATATGATATGTCTGCCGGCATGGTGGAGCGGAACTCGACATGATCGTCCACGCTAACAATTTCTCTAACCGGGTGAACTACTCGTTTTGGGATGAAACCTTCAACAATACTGTTTACAAACCATCCGGTAGAAAGTCTTTTCCAATTTGGGACAGGGGAGGACCTGATATTGTTCCAGGAGTCTTATTGCTTATTTTTACCGTGGTTGGATCTGCTTTAAATGTTTTTATCATTATTGCAATAGTCCCAAATCGTCGTTTACGGACCGTCCGCAATATACTATTAGTTCATCTAGCTGTGGTTGGAATATTTTCGTCTGTGATTACAACGTTGTTTTCTGCAGTGGTCGTTCTCACTGGGCGCTGGATTGGAGGAGACCTTTCTTGCCAAATTTATGGATTTTTACAGTCAAGCTTTACAATAGTGACAGCGTGGACCATTGCTGGATTAAGCTGGGATAAGTATAACACCATTGCATCTCCACTGCATCATTCATTAACAGCAACAATAAAAAAGATGTCTTGTTTATTTGGTGCATACTGGCTAATTGCAATTGTGATAGCGCTTCCGCCATTACTAGGAGGAAATGAGTACGTATTTCATCGAATCCAAGGAATCTGTTTCATAAACCATCTTCAAATTCCAGGGCACTGGTACTTAGGCATTGTTATGATTGTCATGTTTTATCTCCCTCTTTCTGTGATGTTGTACTGTTACACACATATATTCAAAATTGCAAGGACTCAAAGCAGTCGAATCGCTGCAACAATGGTAAGAATGGCTTGCGTGGTGCAAGTTCCGATCGCGCCAAACAGTCAAGCGACTCAAATGAATTCATCATCAATCAAAGGCACCAAAGCAATGATGACAATATTTCAGTTAATAGGGGCATTTGCGCTCACGTACATTCCTTATTCCATTGTGATAATTATTGAGGCATTTATTGGAAGAGAATACATTCACACGACAGTGTTTTCAGTTGTGACTACTTTGTATCAAGCGGCCCCAATGACAAACGGGGCCGTATATGGTATTAGAAATAAAATTCTTCGAAATTCTTTCTACATCTACACAAGAAGGAAATTTCAACATTTAAGATACAAAGACAAAAGAAAAGGAAGTATAAGAAGATCGTCTTCTTTTAGAATGTCTCTTTTGCAAAGGAAAAATAATCAAAATGGTGACATTGGAGGTAGCTTAAGAAGGACACAGTCGCTACAACCACGTCATGTGTCACGACAACCAAAGGACAGTCTTCATCCACCAAATGATTCTAACATCCGAAAAGCTCACTCATTTACATTGGGAAATGGTCACCTGGCACTTCAACTTCCGGTTTTAGAAGTCGATGAGCCCAATGCACAAACTGAAGTTTCCAATAGAAGTGAAGACTTCGTGGCTAATGTATCTTCTGACGAAAGTTAAGGGCAAATGATGCACATAATATGGACATTTATTAGTGCTTTACAACTAGTGATGAATAACGATACATAGGTGTCCTGATGGTCAGTAGATTGTATCGATGTTATCAGTAGGTAACGTTGGGGACCAACACTTTAAATTGATGTACTAAATACAAGAACTGCATCAAATTTTTACCATGGCAAACCGCGCATACGTATATGTATTTAGGGGAAGCTTCAAGAAAGATCCCCCATACATTTATGACATTTTTGGAAGAAATTATGAACAAACAATACAAAGTAAGTACATGTATGATAAATCTGATCATATGACCTTGACCTTGTCAGCAATAAAACAATAAGATTACAGGAAATGAAAAGCGTTGGTATATACAACCAGATGTCAGAACTCAAGCGCGTCCATGCACGTGCTTTTTTGCATCGTAATTATGTCAAACTGATGGTAAAGAGCACACCTTATTCATGTTGTATTTGTTAAAAAATAAAGTGCTGTTTATTATGTACCTGATGTTTTCTAGCCTAAAATTGATACATTTTCATCAACTAAAGCGTAAAGAGGAAATGGTTATGAAAACTATTAATGTCAATTTATTTTATACGACATGATAAATCAACAAATTATTAGGATTGTACAGGAAAATGGGATAGTTGTTGAAAGCATATTTAGTACTCTCTTCTAAAGTACTAAGGCTTGGATTTTTGGTAAATAAGGTCATTATATGTGAGTGATTAATCCAGAAGAATTCTGAAAACAGACAAGAAGGCGAACACACAAGGTGTCTTTAATACAATTAACGCTAAACGTGGCTAATCTGTTTGCTGTCTCTACAGTCAGACGGTATTAAGGAAATTTCTGTATTATCGGCTTAATGATGGTTTTTGCCACTATAGATGTTCCTCTCGATGCAGCATTCATTTGTCTGTTAATGTAAGCTTTTTGAGGAATATTCCTGTCTTCATGTTTTCCATTGTTATATTAAATAAAGGATGTGCGTATTTATAGTGCCAAAGCATTTTCTGCCAAGATTGATAGAATTTGTCTGCTGATATACCATCTGAATTTCATCTGCATGTTGATCTCTAAAACATAAGACGTATGGCCAAATCCTTAAGTCGATATAAAATGCTCATCAAGTTTACTTTTTTGTATGAACGTCAATAATCATATTCGAGTATTCAATGAACGTATTCGAATCTATTCGATAAAATCTGGTTTATTTTCAACATGCATCGTCCTACCCTGGGGACAGTTTTTGCGTCGGTATTTGGAAGTAAAATTAGGTGTAGACTTGTGCACAGAAGGGAATTCTACATTCGATATTTGTTATTGTTTGAAATAAATATATTGATTTGAGTGTAAACAACCATTATTTAAAAAATGCATGAAATCTTGAAGCTCCAAGTGACTTACAAAGTGAAAGATTATGTTCAAATTTAAAAACGTGTATTTAAATACAAGACATTTTTCTGAACTTATTTAATGATTTTAGGAATATGCACAGCCCGAGATAATCAAGTAATCCACGTATTTATTCTGAAGTTGGGCCCTATATAACATAAACCGATTCCTTTAAACGTGTTATTCAATGATCAATGAAATTTAATTTAATTAATGAGTACACTCTTCACATTTTTTAGACAGTCTAAGAAGGGTTTCAGTTTCGTATTTAATGACGGGGACTTTATGCCCAGGTACCGCCATATCAAGAACCTCAGGAAACCCCGAGCGTTCGTCACTAAATGTCTAGTACTACCCTTTTTGAAATATCGCCAAAAATTTCTGGGGATAAAGTTATGCTTTTGAAACATCTTACTTGAAACGAAATAATTTTCTAGAGCTACAAGGTCAGAAAGTAGTTAAGTATCATGTTGTAAATTTTGCATTTACATCGTACATCCACATAGTAAATTCAAAATTTACAACACAATAGAAAGAAATCGGGCGGTCGAAATTTATCGCTAGCAATTTCAGTACTGTTCCAGTTAAAATAAATCATGAAATTTATATCACTTTTGTGTGAAATCTGAAAAAAAGTCCCGAATATTCGAATCAAAAATTCATATCGAATATCAACTCATCGAATGAATATTCGTTGACATCCCTACTTTTTAGTGATGTTAGCATCGTATGTTAATTAATTCTGTATCATGAATTACATTTGCATACTTGATCACCCGTCGTAACAAAATATGACAAACATGAATAAAAAAAAAATAATAATCTCATTCCAGGATATTTTTAGAAAAAAAATTAAAAGGAAAAAAATTTTAAAGAAAAAAAAAAGATTTTTTTGTATTTTGGTATCAGTGCGATCTTGCTGATTTTGGTATGGTCTTAAGAGAATCTGAAAGAAACTGGGGTTTATTTTTATTGGAGCTTGTTGGTGTTTTATCCTGAAAACATTCCATCCTCTTTTGAACGTTTGTGAAGAAATACACTTCTTAATTAAAGTCTGCAGAGCATTTCAAACACGCTTTATTAAAACACGAAACTGAGAGACTGAGTTAAATATACCAGTGCTCAATCTTGTATATATTTTAGTGATCTATGTACAATTTTGATAGGACTTCCCATGAAACAGCAAACAGGAGGTTCAATGACGTTAGTTCAATGTCCTGACAGGTGCTTGAACAATTCTTTATAAAATCTAGATCCATGAACAAATCCATAGCTACCGTTTTCATCGTATGACAGGTAGTGCAATGATAAGGAAATTCTTCTATCGTGTAACTTATATACTTTGGCATATACTTTGTTACCAATTGTCAAATTCCACAAAACCAATTCCATTCTTCCATCCATTCCAACACTGACCTAAGTGGAAAAAATGTATCTTTATCTAGTAGGAAAATTAAGAAAGCTGCTTAAAATCATATACATGTAGCTTGTTTCACTCGACTCAGCTCAATATGGACCAAAAAATATGGATTTTTTTAAAACAAAATATCTACCAATATAAAGATAACTCTAAAAGTAATTATTAAGAATTAACTCCAAAAGTAATTAATAAAAGTTAATGACATTTAGAATTATTTTTACCCATCATTTACAGAAAACATACGTCATAGGTACAATACAATGTAGATTTTAATCTTGTATAGTCTGCAACCATTGTCAAATATCTTCTCCCCCCTCTCCTAATTTAACCCTTTGAGTCGCATGAATATGCATCAGTATTCTCTCTGTTTCATGTACTGTAGAGTTAAAGGAAGGTAAAGTCTCTGGGATCAACTGCACCACTCATGACATGTACATTATAGCAGACAAAATGAACATATGTTGTGTGATCACAAGTACACGTTTTTTGAACAGACAGTAATCAGCTGTTAATATAGGTGAAGTGTTTTGAGAACGCCATTTAATTGAAACAGTTTTTTTGCGTAGGAAAAGAAAAGCCATTTAATGGATCCATGTACTTTATCATATTTCAATTAAGGCTAACCGGTACTCAATCCTTTAAAAATTAGCTCCGTGTTTTCTTTTTTCCTGGAAAGTCACGTGATGATTACTTACGATATATCAATTCAAAGCCTTAATAATTTTTTCATGATTATTTTAGAAGTTTACTATCAGTATAATATTTCAAGACTCGCAGTGTCAAGCCCACTTCAAGAAGAAGAAACTTCAAAAGTATCTATGAAAATAAAGTCACATAGATTTTTTTCCATAGATATATTATAAAGATTGAGCTTTTTATGTGATGAATTGAACACGGATTAGTCTGTTTGATCTTGCATCAGACCAGAACTAAGGCAATTACTGTAATTTGAGTTAATTTTCCACTGCAGATTCTCATACACTAGTTCCAAAGTACACATTGTTTTTCTTGGGAAAAATAATGTTCAGATAAAAAGAAAGATGATACAAGCATGTCTGTTCTAGAAAAAAATTTAAGCCAAAAAATCATCTTTCTTTGGTTTGGAAATTCAAAGGGTGCAGTGATTGGATATTTTTTTTTATCGGAGAACAAACCTCGAGAAATTCCTGAAAATTGTTTTATTTTGTACTTGAAGAGACTGAATTTTTGCAAACCTCCACCTGCGTCACCGGCAACTGATTGGGGCGATTTTACCAATATTGCTAATAATCTGTGATGTTTCACTTTGCTGAACATAAGCTGGTCAGGTTTCTTCTCCTTAAACCTTTGCTCTGGGAATTGGTGAGTTCAATCCATATGTAAAATCTATTTCTGGCATCATTTATTTGCAAAAGTACAAATGTCGGCGGCGGGCGGCAGACGATGGACTATGGTGTCACGTGACGGTTTGTAAATCCGGAGCTTTGATGTTATTGAATAGCTAAAAAGCTGTCGACCTTTATGTTTGTCTGTCGAACTTAAATATTTGCTCTATTGAAGTCAATTAGTTCGACAAATGCTAGCCAAAGGCATGGATTGAATGTAAACACTGTTATGTACGTGAATGCATTTATATGACACAAACCACACTCATAAAATTATCACTCATCAACTCACCAAACTGTTCACAGTATTTGTCAGCACTTCCTGAAATAAAATTACTCTCATTAAATGTTTACATGTTTTAGTTTTTCAAATTGGTTGCAAATCTGCGTTGATACCCAAGAAACTCAGAAGAAAAAAAACAGTCCTTATCAACAGAACAGAGTAATAAATAATTTGAAATCCCCAAATTATGAAAATACATTGCTATTTTATGAAATGAGATCAAAGACGACGATTTTCATCTGTATGTACACAAACAATTACAATGTTGTAACTCAGGAATGTCCCTACTTGCTGAAAATCTGTTATGACTTAATTTTCCCAAAGATTCAATAAATGTGGCACCCAAAGAATGTGAAGATGAAGAAAGGCAAGATATTGTTTTCAGGGAATGCAAAAGAAGGATCATTGAAGATTTTTCTGGCGGACTTGTGAGTTGAGGAGGATCATTTGTGTGCAAATTAAACTTTACTCGTAATTACAATATTGCTTTTAATGTAATCTCGCATTGGCAGCTTCTAATCAGCAACGAGCAATTAAGTAAATCGAAACGGAAGAAATGTTTAACATATGGAAAGAAATATACATTCCTGTCAGTAATTTACCGAATTACGGACTAGTATCTCGGATAAATTGCAATCGGTCTCTGAAAATCTTAATTTGTGATATGTATATCAGACCTATATCTAATAGTTTACTATCATCTGGCAAAATACTATAACGTAAAGCATAGCAAACATACCGTTATTAATGAATTTATGAATAATACCCCTACAATTTGATCTTGACACATTTAAATAATTATGTTAATTGAAAGATTTTATCAGGATCATCAAAATTTGGTTTTGAACCCTGTTTAGTATGGGTTTGGTAACGCAGATGTGGAAGTTTGTCTATTGAAGGCGATTAAACTAATGTTGAAATTATGAATAAGAAATACTAGAAAAAAATTTGTTTCAGTCTCAAATTTTTATACTCGGATTATATTGGTACTAAATAATTAAGAGATATATATTCACTGTGTCTAAAATGATTCACAA